GGGTGAAAGATGGAGACCCTGTCTCCAAAAAATAATAATAATGAAATAAAAATGATACTATAAAACGTCCAAAAAATAATAATAATGAAATAAAAATGATACTATAAAACGTCCAAAAAATAATAATAATGAAATAAAAATGATACTATAAAACCTGTCATAAACCTCATCAAAATTCAAAAATATGAAATTAGATCCTATGGAAAAAAAAAGAAATTAGACCCTATTTCACCTAGATGAAGTAGTGATCTATTTCCCTCTTACCAATACACAATTCCTCACTGAAAACCAAGCATCTTATGCCAGGTGCGGTGGCTCACACCTGTAATCCTAGCACTTTGGGAGGCCAAGGCAGGTGGATCAGCTGAGTTCAGGAGTTCGAGACCAGCCTGGCCAACATAGTAAAACCTCATCTGTACTAAAAGCACAAAAACGCTGGGTGTGGTGGCACATGCTTGTAATCCTAGCACTTTGGGAGGCCAAGGTGGGCAGATCACGAGGTCAGGAGTTCAAGACCAGTCTGGACAGCATAGTGAAACCCCGTCTCTACTAAAAATATAAAAATTAGCCGGGCGTGGTGGCAAGTGCCTATAATCCAAGCTACTCAGGAGGGAGAGGCAAGAGAATCACTTGAACCCGGGGGCGGAGATGGCACTGAGACGAGATGGTGCCACTTCACTCTAGCCTGGGCAAGAGCAAAATTTGTTCTAAAAAAAAAAAAGAAAGAAAGAAAATTAAGAATCTTTTGAATCTTTCAACCTGCCTTGATATTCTTCCGCAGTAAGTATAAATAACACTCTGCCCTTATATGATAGTTGTGATACTTTTCGAAGTACATCCACCAAACTATGAGCCCCTGAAAGGTAAGAACTGCTCTATTCCTCTCTATAGTTTTAGTGTCTCACACAACACCTAGGACATAGTACAAGCTCTATTCATATTTGAGGTAGCGAATGAATGACAAAGAGATAACAGGAAAACTGTCTGATCCAAAATCATCCCAAATAAGATACATGATCCTTATGTACAAAAGGAAGACTGATGATCTAGATGCACTAACTAAAGTAATAAAAAATAAAATGGGGTGGGTTTATGCTAAACTAAATACCATGAACAACCAGAAACCTGAGGCTTCAGGAATTCTGTTCCCAAGCAAATTGATGTGGTAATCACTGGAGTCTGGGCCTCCTCACTATCTCTGCAAGTGGAAGATGGTCTTTCATTGAAGGACACAGTTGGGAACAGGAAGACCTGAATTTCTGGCTCCAAACATGTCAGTGGGATGGGGAGGCAAAAGAAAAATAGTAAATTCCTCTTTATAGCCAAGCTGTAGGAGTCACAAAAACTCTCCTAAACACTTCTCAAATGGACTGGGAGTAGAATTTTTAAGAAGGCCTGGCATGGTGGCTCACACCTGTAATTCAAGCACTTTGGGAGGCCAAGGTAAGAGGATTGCTTGAGACTATGAGTTTGAGACAAGCCTAGGCAACATAGGGAGGCTCTGTCTCTACAAAAAATAAAAAAATTAGCCAGGCAGGGTGATGCATGTCTGTAGTCCTAACTACCCAGGAGGCGGAGGTAGGAGGATCACTTGAGCCCAGGAGATAGAGGTTGCAGTGAGCCACGATCATGCCACTGCACTCCAACCTGGGTGACAGAGCAAGACGCTGTCTCAAAAAAAAAAAATTATTTATGAGATCCTAGGAAATATTTCTTTAGCAGAAATATATCCCCTATGCTTTCTAAAATCCCGCCAGGGAAAGTATTTTATTTGTTTTGATTAGCAATATATGGTCCCTTCCAGCTCTAATTGACACTAATAATTAGTGTCAATGAATGCTAACCGCTTCTCCCACCCCTATGATCACATTATTTAAGAGGCTTGCTAACCAAAATATATCTACAATGTTTAAAGTCCCAGTTACTATTGCTAAGTGCAGCAGATTTTCCATCATATGATGCATTAGATATACTTGCCCTAATACTTAGATCGGGGACTGCATACTCAAGCATTTAGGGTCAGGTAATGTAAATGTAATGTAAGGTAATGTTATGTAATATAATTGGCAGGTAATGTAAATGAGTGTATGACTTGTTTAAAACAACAGGGAATCTCAGAGACTATGTCAAATGGAGAGCATGTGACCTGCCTGTCTGTGGGGCAGCCACCATTTAGTTCCAGTGTATTGTTCCAATGCAAAAATGTGAACCTTTAGGTACAATACACACTATTTGGTTGACAGGTACACTAAAAACCCAGACAGACTTCACCATTTTACAATTCATCCATGTAACCAAAAACTACTTGGTACCCCTAAAGCTATTGAAATAAAAATAATTTCTTTAAAAAAGTGAACCCAGATTTTGCCCAGATTTTCCAATTTTTCAAGAGAGGATGTAAATCAATATTTTAATGTAAACTGTACCAATTTTTAAGTATGCCTGTGGCTAAAAGTGTCTTTTTTTTTTTTTTTTTTTTGACACAGAGCCTCACTCTGTCACTTAGGCTGGAGTGCAGTGGTACAAGCATGGTGCACTGCAGCCTCAGCCTCCTGAGCTCAAGCGATCCTCCCGCCCCAGCCTCCCAGGTAGCTGGGACTACAGGCATGCACCACCACATCTGGCTAATTTTTAAATTTTTTGTAGAGATGGGGGTGGGTCTCACTATGTTGCCAGGACTGGCCCCGAACTCCTGGGCTCAAGGGATCTTCTCGCCTCAGCCTCCCAAAGTGCTGGGAATTCAGGCATGAGCCACCATGCCCAGCCCCAAAAGTGTCTTTTTGGTTTTTGATTTTTTTTTTTTACCTTTTTTCCTACACTTGGTAATCAGGAAGTAAAAGGTGTCTTTTTGACTGTCGACTTTTTGACTGCCATAGCCTTAGTCTAAATGAACAGACAACACTGAGAAATGGAAAGGGTAAAAGGGGAGGCCTATTTTGGCCAGAAAGAGTGAAGCAGAGTCAAAGGGGAAGAAAAGACAGGGAAGAGGCCCAGGATGGATGGTGAGAAGTGAATTTCACCAACCTCGAAACCTCGCATAGGGAGCCCCAATCTGCTTGTCTTCTAATCTAAGAGTAAAAAGGAGGAGATGTCAAGAAGGCAATAAAGGAGGAAGAAAAAGAATCACCTGTTGAGCAGTTACTGGATGACAGACACTGCATGGGATGCTTTCACATGTTGTTTTATTGAGATATGCCAATGCAAAAAGAAAGAATTCTATGCATGGGGAAAAGACTAAAAGGAAATACATCAAAATCCTAACAGTAAGGGTGTCAGATTACAAGAGCCCCTTTTTCCATTCTCCGTAATTTTTAACCATAAATATAATATGGTGTATTAACATTATAATACAAATTAAACTAAAATTTAAGGTGGATTTATGGGTACAAATCCACCCACCCTAGAATATAGAAAGTAAACTGCTATAAATTAAGCCAAACTATACACTGAATATTTAAACAGAAAAGGAAAATGTAGCCATTTCAAATGTATATAATATGTAACTATGCAATTATAAACCCAGAAAGAGAACATGAAAGAAACTACACAGGTGATATGGACCACAGATTGATTAAGAACAGAAATATGTGAAATTGTTAGGAATGTTATAAATCATTTTCTCTCCATATTATAAACTACCAAGATGTTCTCTGTGTGTGTGGCCTATAAAACTATAAAATATACTAAAAGTCCTCTCTTCTATAAAAACATTAAGACTTTTACTTGTTACATACTTTTCCACATTCACTGCATTATTTTCTTTCTTTTAGGTGTGTACAACTCTCATATTTAAATAATCCCCCTCCCTTTTTTTTTGGTCTTTTAGGGCATTTCAAAGATAACAGGTATTTTTTTTTAATAAATGAAATATGTCATTATAGGCCGCTCGTATTCTAAGCAGTCTGAATCCCCAATTAATCTCTTCCAAATATGCATATTTAGTTTTCATTCTGCTCAAAAATGAAACCCTAACCTAAATACTCCAAGTGAAATTTCAGGGGAAAAATACTGTTCAAAAACCTAGATAATGCATTCCTTTGTTGATGCTAAATATAGTCATCTCAAGATGACATACATTTTGACAATGATCAGCCTTACATGTCAAATTTTCAAAAATAGCACAAATTCCATTTTAAGATGAGCAGGAAAAATTGCTATTCATTACATTTCAATCGAAAATGGATTTTAAAGTATAAATCTTCTATTAAAACTGGATTACATTATAACTATAATGAGGAAAACTGGATTTAAAATAATTTTGTTGTGGTTTTAGCTTAGAATTCTTTGAGGGAATTGTTGCAGATAAACCACATAATTGCATGCATTTTTCTTTAAATTGTCCCTCAGAAGTATTAGTCAAAATATAAAATATCTGCAAAAATACGGTGTTAATTGCTGGAAGGAAGAAGAAACTTAAACAGCTACATTGGTTAGTCAAAGTTTACTTATACAAATTATACCTCCCCCCAAAAAAACCTTTCTCTCATTTGATTAATTATGCAGTTTTTCTTAACAATACCCCAAACTCAAAAGAATTCGAGACAGTTTTCTTACTGCATCAATTTAACCTGTAAAAGGATAATATTAGAGGGGGAAATTATGTGGTCCACTCAATAACACGTGACTAAGATGGTATAAATACTTAAGTTTATTTAATCACATTACTTAAGACATAGTTATGTTGTGACTCGCAGGCCAATGGGCCGCTGCTACATGAATTCATTAATAAAATTTAACGATGAATGATGTTCCTGTTGCTTTGGTCAGGGAACTGATTTCTTTATTATGGCTTCTTTTCTCTACCTGTGTCTTTACCAAGGACATTTTGTTAGGACTTATCCTTATGCTATTTTTACCTTGTTATCTCTCTGCCAACTTTGTTCACGTTGTGCTTTAATAACTATAAAATGAGTATCTCTAAGTCATTGCAGTAACCAACTATAACCTCTCAACTTCGTCATTTTCTTTATAAATGCCAATGCTAATGCATTTGTAGAACGTTTCACAGTTTACAAACAGCTGGAATGGTTTGGCTTTTTCAAAAGCATATAAGCAAGGGGAATTCTCAAGAGGTGACTACACTCTTCACTCACGTAAACTACGTAAACTTCGTAAACTTCCAGCCCTAGTTGCCCAACCCCCAGCATCCCACCGCGGGGAGAATCACGAAAAAAAAAACGCGTTGGAGACAGGAGTAGGGGGATATGCGGGGGTGTCGGGGGAGTAATAGGCTGTTAAATCGTATTTCTTCCCATCTTCCACAGGGACCGATCAGAAAGAATTTCTTAACTGGCATGCTGGCAGAGACGGAGACCGCGGCGGGGGCACGTGGTGGACGGCACCGAATTTCCCTAAGGACCCCAAGAGTTCAGCCGAGGGACCGGCACCTACTCGGCTCACAGAGTGCTCCCTCCCTACAGTACGGAACGCACCTGAAACTCAGCCGACAGGGCGCAGGGGAGCAGGGCAAAGACATCGCAACTAGAAGCCCGAGGTCGGCTGAGGCTTTCAGACACTGGGGCAGCCCCTGTTCGGCACCCCGCCTAGCCCGCAGGACGCGGCTCGGAGGCCAGGTTCGCCCGGGCCGGGGCCAGTGCGGAGCCACAGCTGTATGGCGCCCGGCGCACTCCCGTGCTGCAGCGGAGCATCGCCAGAAGCCGCGGACCCCGAGCGCCTCTCTGCAGCCGCTGCAGCCGCCGCTCCCGCCCCCGCCCCCGCCCCCGCCAGGGGACCCTACACCTCAGTCTCCACTCCCCCTAGCCCACGTTCCCCAACTCTTCTCACCCTCCAGGAGCCGGTGACCCGCGAAGGTCCTTCTTTTCGCGCGGAGGGACTGTGCGCGTCCTGCCTAGCTGTGGGTAAGGGTCTGGGAGCTCTGGCCGTTACACTTCTGCTCCAGCCGCTGGGAGTCCTCTGGCTGCCGCTGCCGCTGCCGCCGCCGCCGCCGCCGCCGCTGTCTCCAGCAGCAAGTTTCCATAAAAGTCCTGGTGCGCAGCCTGTTCCCGCATTCCAGGCGGGCCCAGCGCCGGCTGCAGCTGTTCCAAAACACAAGGCCAGTTCCCCCAACCCCCACCTCCGCCGGATCACCCGGAGGGGGGTGGAGAGTCGAGGAGAAAAGCAGGGGACGGGGAGCGTGGCTGCAACTTTCCGCCAGAATTTGTCTGTCTCCCGGCCCTAGGTGCGCGGGCTGACCCCCTAACCTTGGGCCTGCCTCCACCTCCAGCCTGGGGAAGGAAGGCTGCCTCTGCCACGGGAAAGGAATGAGGCTGAAATGGGCTTCATTACCGGTCTGGAGCTGGCTCCCCCTACCCGCAACCCGTTTGCTGTGGGGCCCACTTCTCTCAGCTACTCTACCCGTCCTAGTTTCCAGTCAAGAAGCCAAGCCACTACATTATCTTCTACTACCCTAAGCATTGACCTTTGGCCACGTTTTCCTTTATTACAAAGAGCGTGGGGCAGCGATCCGGGAACACTTCATCTGTCTATTGCTCCCCTTTTCTTAGCTCCAGTCTTTAACTCTGAAAGGAGAGTTAAAAGGAAGAAGAAAGAAGAGAAGGAGGAGGTCAATTGAAGGCAGAGGAGGAGGAGAAGAAAAAAAGGAATATATTTATATAAGTACAAATATATTTAATATTCCACCTTTTTGTTAATTGAAGGCAAACCATGTCTGGTCTTCCTAAAGCTTCATAAAGGCATCTTTGACTATTAGGCACCCACAGACCTTTTTCAACTTGGACCGCCAGCCTGTCAAATCCATTAGACAATCCCATATTAAAACCCGAAATGCACACTCAGAGGGAGCATTTTTGGTGGACGAGATCTTTAATTCTTTACTGCACTTGAAAACAAAATCGAAATGACATCCAGATAAACAAAGAATAAAAGTAACCACTTCCAACTTCAGGCCCCAAGACAGCGGTGCTCAGGTTATATTTCAGGGATGTTTAAAAGGCCTTCTGGGCTGGGCGCGGTGGCTCATACCTGTAATGGCAGCACTTTGGGAGACGGAGGCGGGTGGATCACTTGAGGTCGGGAATCCAACACCAGCCTGCCCAACATGGCAAAAGACCATCTTTACTAAAAATACAAAAAATTAGCCGAGTGTGGTGGCACACGCCTGTAATCTCAGTTACTCAGGAGGCTGAGGCAGGAGAATCACTTGAAGCCAGGAGGCAAAGGTTGCAGTGAGCCGAGATCGTGCCACTGCACTCCAGTCTGGGTGACAAAGTGAGACTCCGTCTCCAAAAAAAAAAGAGGCCGGGCACCGTGGCTCATGCCTGTAATCCCAGCACTTTGAGAGGCCGAGGTGGGTGGATCACCTGAGGTCAGGAGTTTGTGACCAACCTGGCCAACATGGTGAAACTCTGCCTCTACTAAAAAATACAAAAAATTAGCCGGGCGTGTGGCGTGCGCCTGTGATCCCAGCTACCTGGGAGGCTGAAGTAGAAGAACCCACTTCACTTGAACCTGGGAGGCTGAGGTTGCAGTGAGCCAAGATCCCGCCATTGCACTCCAGCCTGAGCAACAAGAGTGAAACTCCCTCTCTCTCTCTCTCTGTCTCTCTCTCTGTGTGTATGTGTCTCTCTCTCTCTCTCTCTCACACACACACACACACACACACACAAGAGGTCTTCTACTCTTAAACATAACTCTGTTCCCCAGTCCCATCCCCACACTATTTACTCAGGATGGAAACTCTTTTAAGGAGGGTAAGCCAGCCATTCATTCCTCAATGATAGAAAAGTTCAAAATTGGTAATTACAATTATTTAAATGTACCAAACTACAGATGGTGATAGGTGGTCTCCGTAGTCTTGCTTGTGCCCTTGCTCTGTCTGATGCCATCACATTGGCCTTCTTCAGTTCATGCAACTTTCTGTGGGCATTCTGGCTGCAGGGCCTTTGCATAAGTTGTTCCCTGCATGAAATCCTTTCTCCCACTTTCCCCTTCACCTAACTTCAACATAACCTCCAGGTCTCTTCTTAAATGCTGCTTCCTTGAAGAAGGCTTCCTTGCACCCCACCTTTCTCCCCACCTTGCACCTCACCTTTCATCTCACCTTTCTCTTCCCTATACATACCTATCCCTGCCCCATACATATCAATTTATAATTACATTTTTATTTCTGTGATTTAAAGAAGTGAGTTGGCTGGGCATGGCGGCTCACACCTGTAATCCCAGCACTTTGGGAGGCTGAAGTAGGTGGATCAACTGAGGTCAGGAGTTTGAGACCAGCCTGGCCAACATGGTGAAACCCTGTCTCTACTAAAAATATAAAAATTAGCTGAGTGTGGTAGCGTGCGTCTGTAGTCCCAGCTACTCGGGAGGCCGAGGCAGGAGAATTGCTTGAACCCAGGAGGAAGAGGTTGCAGTGAGCAGAGATCACGCCACTGGACTCCAGCCTGGGCGACAGAGTGAGACTCTATCTCGAAACATAATAAATAAATAAATAAGTAGAAACTTTCCAATTTTTTATTTTTTTATTCCACCCAACAGATTCACCAGATTAAACAAAGCTCTCCGTTCTCTCTGTCGAACGCTGATAGCTACTCAGCATGCAAGGCCTGCTTATTTTCCCACCAATTCATCATTCATTCATTCAACACATATTCAGTTCTAGATGCTAAGAATACAACAGTGATAAAAGAAAAATCCCTGACATGATGGAACATACATTCTAGTGAAAGAAGGCAGACAATAAGCAAATAAATGAACTATGTAGTATTTAGTGACATATAATATGGCAATATGGATAAAACCAGAGCAGGGAAGTAGAGAATGCTGGAAGCAGGCTGAGTAGATGTTGTAATTTTAGATAGAGTGGCTAAGGAAAGCCTCATATGAGTAAAAGCCTTGAGGAGAATGAGGCAGTAGGCTATGTAAATATCTGCAGATGCAAATATTTGGAGGAAGAGTGGTTCAGGGATAGATACAAAGGCCCAGAGAAGGATTCTATCTGACATGTTCTAGGAAGAACCAGGAGGCTTGTGTGAGTGAAGCTAAGTAGGTGAAGGGTGAAGTAATAGGAGGTGCAGTGGGGGAGCAGCAGAAGACAGACTATGTAGGATTTGTTTGTTTGTTTGTTTGAGAAGTCTCACTCTGTCGTCCAGGCTGGAGTGCAGTAGCATGATCTCTGCTCACTGCAACCTCCGCCTCCTGGGTTCAAGCGATTCTCTTCCCTCACACTCCTGAGTAGCTGGGATTACAGGTGCCTGCCACCATACCCGGCTAATTTTTGTATTTTTAATAGAGATGGGGTTTCACCATGTTGACCAGGCTGGTCTCAAACTCCTGACTTCAGGTGATGCACCCACCTCAGCCTCCTAAAGTGCTGGGATCACAGGCGTGAGCCACTGCCCCTGGCCTTTTTTTTTTTTTTTTTTTTTTAAGAGACCCAGGCTGGAGTACAGTGGTGGAATCACAGCTCACCATAGCCTCTAACTTCTGGGCTCAAGCAATCCTCCTGCCTCTGCTTCTCTGAGTAGCTGGGACTACAGGCATGCAACAACACACCTGGCTGATTTTTTAGTTTTTGTAGAAATAGGGTCTTATTATGTTGCCTGGATTGGTCTCAAACTCCTGGGCTCAAGCATCCTCCCACTTCGGCCTCCCAAAGGGTAGGGATTATAGGCATGAGCCACTGTGCCCAGCCTCTTTTTGTACAGCATTGTAAAGATTTTGGTTTTTACTCTAACATGGGTGGCCTTTGGTAGGTTTTGAACAACATAGTGACGTGATCTGACATGTTTACTCTCTCTAGCTTATGTGCTGCACTTACACTAAATAAGGCAAGAGAAGAAGCAGGGAGATCAATTAATTAGGAGGCTTCCACAATAATCAGAATGAGGAATGGGGATTGGGCCAAAGTGATAGTTGTGAAGGTAGTGAGAAATACCTGGTATATATATTTTTTCCTTGTTGCCTTTTTAGGTAGAACTGGTAGGATTTTGGTTACTGAATGTGAGGTGTGAGGAAAGGAGGTTTTTGGCCTTTGATCTGGAAGAATGGAATTGTAATTTACTCAGATAGGGAAGACTGTGGGAAGAGTAGGTTTAGGCAGGGGTGGTAAGGAGCTCAGTTTTGACATGCTAAGTTTGAGATTACTAAAAATCCAAGATTTGCCAATTTGTATAAGCATTACTTGTATACTTACCACGAATGATTGAGTTTGTTCTATGTCAGTTGCATGGCTTTGAAATTATACAAAGTAAACATTTAAAAAATGAAATTATAGGCCAGGCACGGTGGCTCACACCTGTAAGCCCAGCACTGTGGGAGGCCAAGGTGGGCGGATCACCTGAGGTCAGGAGTTCGAGACCAGCCTGGCCATGATGGCAAAACCCTGTCTCTACTAAAAACACAAAAATTAGCTGGGCGTGCTGGTGCATGCCTGTAATCCCAGCTACCTGGGAGGCTGAGGCAGGAGAATCACTTGAACCCAGGAGGCAGAGGCTGCAGTGAGCCGAGATAGTGCCAAAAAAAAAAAAAAAAGAAAAGAAATTATAAAAGCAAAAATAAAGTTACAGTTTTTTATAAAAGCTGAGCTGAATGCTTTGAAAAAACTTGATAAAGGCAAATGGCTTACAAAAATTACCACCAAGCTAGGTGTGGAGAAGATAAATGTAAAAGATTGGGTACAAAATTGTACAAATCTAGGGAGATTCTGCAGTCAATGCTTTTCATGTACCTTTTCTCTCCTTTAAAAGTAAGGAAAACTTGGCTGGGCACGGTGGCTCAAGCCTGTAATCCCAGCACTTTGGGAGGCCGAGACGGGCGGATCACGAGGTCAGGAGATCGAGACCATCCTGGCTAACATGGTGAAACCCTGTCTCTACTAAAAAATACAAAAAAACTAGCCAGGCAAGGTGGCGGGCGCCTGTAGTCCCAGCTAGTCGGGAGGCTGAGGCCGGAGAATGGTGTAAACCCGGGAGGCGGAGCCGGCCACTGCACTCCAGCTTGGGCAACAGAGCCAGACTCCGTCTCAAAAAAAAAAAAAAAGTAAGGAAAACTCGAAATTCCAGATGATGATTTAGGGCAGAGGTCCCCAAACCCCAGGCTGCACAGCAGGAGGTGAGGGCCGGCGAGTGAGCATTACCACCTGAGCTCTGCCACCTGTCAGATCAACGATGGCATTAGATTCTCATGGAGCGCAAACCCTGTTATGAACTTGCATGTAAGGAATCTAGGTTGTGCATTCTTTATGAGAATATAATCCCTGATGATCTGTGGTGGACCAATTTCATCCCAAAACTATCCACCACACCTACCCCCGCACTGTCCATGGAAAAATTGTCTTCCCCAAAACTGGCCCCTGGTGCCAAAAAGTTTGGGAACCACTGATTTAGCGGTTTAGTTTATGT